ATAATAGTAATTATAATACTTAAGGTACAGAGCTTCTAGACAAACTAATTAAGATGAGGGCAAAGTAATTAGCATATAATAAACAAATATAATAGTTATTTTTAATCATTTTTTGTCAGTGTTAATAGCAGCATTTCCCAGTCCCAAGGAAGTGGTAAAAGAGGAGGTATTTCTATCACAATCAACTCCTCATTTCTGAAATAGGCTTTTCTCTCCATTCCATCTAGCCTACAAGGTCACTGCCATATGGGGTGGCAAAGAAATGATGGATGTATTTATAGCAGTTAAGGAAACTGTAGTTTGGATTTGGAGAACTTCCCCCACCTAAAACCTTCTCCTGTAATAAAAGTTTAAAGTCCTTTCCTTGCAGCCTACTTTTTTTCCCTTTAAACTGTAACAGCAATGTCACATTGAGGTTTCTCTCTCTGTGCGAGCACCGCTGTACTAAAACACATTTCTTACTAAATTTTGGCTGAAGAGAAAATTATTTCTAAGTCATGTTTTTTCTTTAGCCAAGAAGTATACAGTAATTAAAACATTATTTGTAAACAGGAACAAGAAATAATTTACAGCTCATGTGCGATCATTTTATTCTTTCATGACTTACATATTTATATGTTTGGATAAAACCTATGAATACTAACTAGCTCTTTATATTCCAGTAAATGAGACTGGTTGGGAGTGAATTAGAGAAGGAAAGTGTGGGGCACATAATTGAAAAATAAGATGGAACGATGGATTTGAGATGTGTGCCTGCCACTGAATCATTTTGTGACTCTAACTAAGTTCAACACTTCGTGCTCTGACTCTCCACCTGGAAGATTATGATAATATGACTGTCTGGAAAGTATGGCAAACATTCAAAACAAGAGTCTGGAAATTAGGATCCTTGTTAAACATGAAACATTTTATCCTTGGTTAATAGAGTTTGTCATATTTGAAGAAGCTTCTTTTAAATATAGGGTTTCACCAAGTTAATAGTGCTCACACATTGTTTAGCCAAAGAGACAGATGAACGAACAATTTACAAAAGATGAAACATATTTGGTCAAGAAACATAAAACAATTATCATCCTCACTAATAATATAAAAACTGCAAACTGAACAATGAGGTAACTTTTCCCCCCCACTTTTCAAATTGGAAAAAAATTAAATAGTCTAATTACACAAGTCCAACTTTGGTGATGGTATGGGAAAATGTGTGCATTATTGGTGAGAGTGTAAGTTAGTATGGGAGTTTCTCCTCTCTTTCTCCCTCACTGGTCCCCCATGAGGGTAAAGGTGATTCCAGCCTGGGAGTTGATACCCGCAGCAGTTGCTACCATCTGGCCAGAGCCTTCCGTGACATGGGTCCCTGTATGAAAAAGGAGACGATGGGGGAGTGTTGTTTTCTTACACCTAGCCATGCTTTGGTGTGAAACACACACTTAGAAAAAAAATAAAAAACAGTCCCTCTTCCTTTCTCCCCATGGATAATAATAGGATAATAATATACTCAGCAGATAGTAGGAAAAGGTCAAGAGCTGGGCCCATTTAAAATAGACCAAGAAAGCTGGAGGGTAAGGAGAAAAATGTGTCCAACTGCTTTAGGGGAAGGAGTCTTCCCCTAAACTCACCCTCAACCAGCAGAGCCCCTCCAAGGCCCCTACAGCAATTGCTTCACAGATAGCCTCTTTTAGGTTACCTCATACCCTTGTATTCGACCCGCTAATACAGTATTACTCCAGTTGAATCCAGAAGGAAATGGGACAGGGCCAGAAGAGAGAGCAAGGTCTGGATCAGGCCTCTGTGGCCTGGTTGTCGGGGGGGGAGGCAGAATGGAAACTGGGGTGGCCACAGGCCATACCTGAGAGCAACATGGGTCTCTTTCCTTGGACTTCTTGACATAGTCTGATTCCCCAGTTATAGAGCTCTCATCAATCTTGAGATCATTCTCCTGGTTCAGGATTTCATATGCAGGCAGCAGATCACATAGTGCATAGAGAGAAATGGGCAACATGGAAAGAGGGAGGTAAGAGCCTGGTGGAGGGTGGGGACCATCCAACCCCATCTTAGGGCTGCCCCCATGGCTCCACCTACAGGGCAATCATCCAGGGAATATCTGGAGAGCCTTTGAAAGACAACTTCAGCTCTGACACCTGGGACAAAGCTGCTTTCCAGGTATCACAAATTCAAACAATTACTGATTCTCAAACACCTTCCCATGGCCTGAATACTCTATAATTCTAACCCTAAGACACACAGGGTACAAGTTTGACAATCTTTTGGGAGACTTCCAGTTACTTCTTTCTTTGAATTTCCTTCCCACAACTTCCTTAGAAGCTGACACAATTTGGATTGTTTATAGAAGTTTTATTTGGTTCTTTTTACATTTTCTATTTCTTTCATTATGCTTATGTTTTCCTTTAAATTCTTTTTTCAATTGATCTTTATTGTTGAAAGTATTGTAGATGTCCCCTCCCCCCCTTCCATTAAATTCTTAACCACACATATAATAGCTGCTTTAAAGTCCTTATCTGCTAATTTTGTCATCTTTGCCATTTCTGGGTCTGTTTCTATTGATTGATTTTTCTACTGTTTATGATTTAGATTTTCCTGCTTCACATATACTAATTTTTTATTGAATAGTGGGCATTGTAGGCATTACATAGTTTAGTGCCTGGATTTTGTTGTCTTTCTTTAAATATTGTTAAGTTTCATTCAAGCAAGCAGTTAATTTACTTGCACATAAGTTTTTTCAGCTTTATTTGATTGAGCCTAGAATAGCCTTCACTCTTGGGTTAGTTTAGCCTTATCGCTGTAAACTGAAAAATTTGAAAACATTTATTTGCCAAGATATATGCACCCCTATGTTCATTACAGTATTATTCATGGTGTCCAAGACAAGGAAACAACCAATGTGTCCTTTGCTAGATGATTGGATAAAGAAGATTGATACCTATATACAATCAGCCACATAAAAGATGAAATACTGCCATTTGTGACAACATGGACGGATCTTGAGATTATCATGCTAAGTGAAATAAGTCAGACAGAAAAAGTTAAGAACCATATGATTTCACTCATATGTGGGATATAAAACTGAAATCAACAAATGAACAAACAAGAAAAACAAACAAAAACTCACAGACACTGACAATAGTATAGTGGGTAGTAAAGGATAAAGGGGATCAAATATGGTAATGGAAGAAAATTTGATTCTGGATGGTGGGCACACAATGCAATATATAGATAATGTATCATAGAATTGTACACTTGAAGCCTATATAACCTTATTGCTCAATCTCACCCCAATAAATTTAATTAAAAATAATATAAATAGAGCCTCTTAAAAATGGAGTAAGAGCTGTCATCCCAGAGGAATTATCTTGCACATCTTATGTCTCAAATGTAAAACAGGGCAAAATAGCCTTTGGACTGGGCCTAAAGCAGTGTGTGTCCCAAGGAACTGTCTGCAAGGATAACAAGAAAGCAGATATTATGACTACCAGGCTGAAAAATTAACTGTGTTAGCTTATTGGCACCAATAGAAATGCCTTCTTTCTATTGATGTAATTGTTCCCCTTCCCTTTCTCATAAATACCCTTTGCCTTTGGCTTCTAATTGGGCCACTATTTGGGTTTCTGCCTTTTGAATTCCAGACTTACATATCCAAATATGTTTAATATCTCCATTTATAAGCACCTCAGATTTAACATATCCCAAACATTTTCTCTTCCTTCTATGTAAATGGCTTCTTAACCCATCTAGTTACTTAAGGAGTCATCCTTAATGCTGCTCTTCTTTACCCTTCTTGGCCAACCAATCCATTAAGTCCCTTGGATTCCACCTCTGATTTCTACATGTCTCAAAATTATCCAACTCTGTATCTCTACTGCCATTACCCTAGTTCAAGTCACCACCATCTCTGTTCTTGGCTAATGTAATTGCCTCCAAACTGGCCTTCCAGCAATCCCTCTTGCCCTCTTCCAAACTATTCCCCACAGACAGCCTGAGTGAGCTTTAAAATACGTACATCAGATCTCTATTAGCTGCCCAATGACCTTAGGATACATCCCAAAATATAGTCTAAAATCTATAATGTGGCCAATAAGAACCTGCATGGTCTGGCCTTTGCCTCACCTCAGCCCAAACTTGTTTCCTACACGCCAAGTACACTGACTTCCTTTCAGTCCCGAGAACATACCAAGTTCTCTCATGCCCCCCTGACCTCACACATATTGTTCCTTTGGCCTTTAACATTCTTTAAAACTATTTCATATGCCCGGCACATCTTCAAAGAGCTTTTCCCTGAGAGTCCAGAATTAACCCATCCTCCTACCCACTAATTTTCCTTCATAGCACTGATCATAATTTACAATCATATAATGATTTATGCTTTAAAGTCTCCTCTATTATACTTTAGATTCCATCCGGTGTAATGTTCACTCCTGTAACCCAATGCCTGACACCGTGCTCGGCACAGGGTGAGCAATCAGTAGGTGCCTGTTTAATCATGCATGGCGGTTGCAAAGGCTGGCATAGGCCACAGGGCCGGCACCTGGCATTTCTTTCTCTGCCAAGCTTAGGTGCCCCTGTGTGGCGGTAGGTGGGGCAGCAACTGCTCTTGCTCACTCAGAAGGGGCTTTTTCTTCCGGCTCCTCGGCTAAGTGTTCGCTGCAGGGCAGCGTGAAAAACAAACTGCTCCCCCACACAGGCGGCAGGCGGAAGAGAATCTCTTTACTGGAGAGGGACGGCCCAGTCCGTCAGGGCAGGCGCTCGCCCTGTCTTGGCGCAGGTGCGTGAAAACCTGCCAATCTCTCCCGGAGGGGCGGGACTACCCCGGGCCCCGGGAGGGGGCGGGTCAGTGTGTCCTTCCCATAGAACCTGATTGGCCCGGGCGAGCCGAGGGAATGGGGGCGGGGCTTGATCCCGCGGGGCGCCCGCCACGTTGGATGCCAGGCTGCCCGGAGGAAAGGCCACGCCCCGGTCCCACAATGCACTGCTGGGCACGTCACTCGGCGCGGCAGGTCCTGGCTCGACAGGTACTGACTGGCCCCTCCCAGTCCCCGTTTATTTCCTCTTGGGGTCGCTCAAACCCCTGGCCGGCAGCTCCCCTCAATTTCCTCGCCTCCCGCCACGGCCCTGGACCTTACCTGCGTGTCTGCAGACCTATTCCAGGGCAGGAGCCAAGCCCGTGCCGTGGGGGCGGGAACCGGGTGTCGTTGGAACCGCGGAGCTCGGGCGGGGCGGGATTGCCGGGACTCCGTCCCCTACGACTTGCGGGGTCTTTGGGGCCACGCGGGCGGCGGTTGCCCCTCGTCTCACCCTCCATGGGTATGGGGCAGCCGGTGCAGGGGGGCCGACGGCGGGGGGCAGTCGCTCTGGGCTGTCAGCGGCGGAGGGCGTTCCCTGGCGCCCAGGTGTCAGAAACCCCGCGGTCCACCCGGGCTGCCTGGACGCCCCAGAGAGCTTGACGTGCCATTTTCTATGTGTTTTAGGCAGGGTGGGATTTGAACCAGTGGCTAACTTAGCGTTTTATGGGGATTGAGTGAGCACTGAGCTCAGGGATTTGCCCGCATTGGCTGTCGGAAGCCTCATAAGGCCCTGTTAACGGCACTTTGGGAAGGATGTGGCATAGAGTCCTGAGCAAGTGGCTGGACAGGTGGAAGGGGGCTTCAAAACAAGAGGCTGAGCCCCAGCCGGCTTGTATCTCTCTGCCAGTGAAAGCAGCTTTATACTTTTCCGGTGCTCCAGTTGCCAGGGTCATCCATCTGGGGGTAGTTGGCTAGCTTGAGAACCGGTCCCTTCTGTTCCTGTTCAGCCAAGGCAAAGCCCGGGGCTGAAGTGTCAGCCACTACACTGGAGATGTTGGGATCCCAGCTAACAGGTGGAACAGCCGCTTTTGAAACTCCCTGAATCACATTCCACGTTACTGGCATTTGCTCATGTGCTGACATTATAAGGAATTAGGCAGTACCTTGAACAGTACCTATGATTTCTGGTATATGAAGGTTGTAGTTCAGTGACTCAATCTGACATCTGTGACCATACTCTAAGTTAATGGGACATCTGGGCATTTCCTATGTTGAGAAGCCATGATCTCAGTTTAGTGCTTCTTTTGGTGTATGATTTTTAAAAATCGAAGTACATTTTATGTTGGTGTATGAAAGAAGCCCATCTCTTATCAAAGGGAGTGCCTGTGGACTTCCTCTCCATGTAGTTAAGTAAGAAGCTTGGATATGTTGAGAGGCAATGCTTAAGAGAGTAGTTAGAGTTAGGCCTGAGTTTAAATCTGTCACTTGCTAGTTTAGGGACTGAATAAATTACTTAACCTCTCTGAGCCTGAATTTCCTCAAAGGTAAAATGGATCTGATAATACATACCTCACAGGTTATTGGAAGACTTCCATGAGGTAACATGTATAAAGTGCCTGGTAAATAGAGGACAGTCAATAAATAATAATAGCAGCAAACACTTACTATTGCACTTTTAGTCTGCAAGGCAGTGCTTCAGGTTCTTTACATGTTCCTGTAAGGTAGATAGTATTAGCATCTTTAAAATAACCCTATGAGAGATATACTGTTAGTAGCCACAATTTACAGGTGGAGAAATTGAGTATAGAAAGGCACAGTTAGTACATGGTAGAGCCAGTTTTTGAACCCAGGCAATCTAGTTCCAGAGTCTATCCTGTTAGTTACTATACAGCCTCTTAAAGAAAATGTAAGCTGATCTTTTATTATTTCAAAATGAGTAGCTAGATAGTTTCTGTATCACTGGGTTCTTGCCCCTTGTTGGTTTTAGGTGACTGGTGTAGCACAGTGATGTAGAGATAGAAGAAACTTAGGTTAAACACCAGTTCTGCCATATATTAGCAATGTGACATTGAGAAAGGGAGCCTTCATTTCCTCATCTGTAAAATGAAGGTTATACCTACTCACTGTTTGTAAACTATGAGGTGCTACACAAATGTTGGGAACTGACACATTTGTGCATGTGTTAGGGGCCCTGTTCCTAAATGTGAGGATAATCTGGAGCCTGAGGTCTTACACATACTGTTCAGTGCAAGCACCTATAATAGGAGTATCAAAGGCTGCTGGAGAGGTTGGGGGTGGGCTAAGCTGCAAAATAAATTCTGGTTGTCCTTGGTACCCTTTCCCTTTTTCTTCAAACTGTTTCCCAAGTGCCTTCCTGCTAACGTATGGCTCTGTAAAGAACTTCCCTTGTCACTCAATCTTGCCCCCACCCTGTGTATCACAGTTAGCATAGCTTTCTCCCCAAATAACACCCCCTCTCAATTCTCACAGATCTCTATTAGCACTTTTAATAAAAAGAATATGTACCAAGGTAGTGTTTATTTTGGTACCATCAGATGTGCAAGAAAACTTGTATAATAGGCAGATGAACATTTTAAAAAAATAATTCTCCAAGATTTTCACATGCTCATATTTGAATGAAACCCCAAAAGTTCTCTATTTTAATTTATTAAGTTGGGAGAAAAACCTAACACATTAAAACTGATTTCACAGATAGCATTGATAAGGGTAGGGCAAAAAAATAAGTCAATTGAAAGACATATTAGGTACAGGTAGGATGCAGCAGTAGTTAGAATTCTTAACTTGGATGACTGAAGTTTGGGAAATAATGAACTAAAATAAATATGAGTGATTAACCCAATGTCAATGTTTTTTATCTTTTTTAAATATATCTTTTTATTGATTTCAGAGAGAGGAAAGGAGAGAGGGAGAGAGAGAGAAACATCAATGATGAGAGAGTCATTGATCGGCTGCCTCCTGCACGCCCCCGACTGGGGATCGTGCCTGCAACCCCGAGCCCCCAACACGCGGCATGTGCCCTGACGGGGAATTGAACCCTGATCGCCTGGATCCTAGATCAACGCTCAACTGCTGAGCCACGCCCGGTCGGGCTAAATGTTTTTATCTTAAAAGAGGCATTTATGAAACATCTTGCTAGAAAAGAGGTATAAAGTATACTTATACATTGGGTTTTGTTTATTACTTTTTAAGAGATTGTCTTCCTGGTACCTTGGGCCCACAATCATTACCCCACAAGGTCCTGAAGAAGAGGTCAGCATCTTGTTATCTTGGATCTAAAAGGTTGCTATAGTAGTTTGGCATTGTGAGACTTTCTTTTTCTCAACCTTTACATAAATATTTACCCAGACCTCCCTAGATTCTAATCTTGAGCTTTTTCCTCTAACAGTTGCTATTGGGGAGAGAATATAGAGTCCAGTACTCAGATTCTCTATGCCTTTTCTGCTGCTAAAGCATATGCAATACTTTTCCAGTGTTAAAGGTGAGAGAAAATGGACCAGTGGCCTAAAAATGTATCTATGGCCCTGATAAAACTACCATTGCTCCTAAATCTTCCCATGCAAGTGTTTTAACCTTGCTTTTCCCAGTTCCCATTGGCTCTTCCTTGGTTTTCCCGGCTACCATCTTGTCTAAGACTCTAAGGGTACCAAGTACCAATTTAGTCTTGATGTGGACAGATTCCTCTTTCTGCTAGCACAGTCCAGATAAGATGAGAGATTTTTTTTTTTAAAGGAACTGCATTAAGAATCCATCATAAAAAGAAAAGGGGAGTGTTAATATTTATTGAATTGATAGAGGAGAGATTGCTTATCCTAAGGTGATTGAAGCCTATCCGCAGTTTAGCCAAGCCTGGCATTGCTCATTGGACAGTCATCCTAGTTTCTTTTGCTGGTTAATTGGTTTGGATGTTAGGTCAAATGTCTCTGGGAGGAAGAAACTTTTTAGTCTCAGAAAAATCTTACCCACTGATAAATAGAAATAATTCTCTGACAACCTTTTAAGACTTTTGACAGAGAGTATCACTACTGTATTGTGCATTTGGTTACAAGCATACAGGTGTGTATTAGGAATATCTGAAATGCAAATTTGTCTAACTGTAGTTTTCCAATTAGTAAAGTGGTGGGCAATGCAGCTCTTTCAATCTGAATTTCTTTAATTCTGGATTGATGCTTCTTGATGGTAGGAACTCTGTATTCCTAATGTCTGACATAATCTCTGGCATACAGTATGGACTGTTAAAAAACAAAATTCAGCCCGGCCGGGCGTGGCTCAGCGGTTGAGCGTCGACCTAGGATCCCGGGGATCGGGGTTCAATTCCCGGTCAGGGCATATGCCCGGATTGCGGGCTCGATCAATGACTCTCTCATCATTGATGTTTCTATCTCTCTCTCTCTCCTTCTCCTTTCCTCTCTCTGAAATCAATAAAGATATATTTAAAAATAAAAAATAAAAATAAACAAAAAAACAAAATTCAACCGCCTGAACTTGAAGATGTAATGCTTTATTAAGCTACTCACAAACCGGGCAGTATCCTGTCTAGCAACTAATAGAGTGCTCTGAGGGGTTGTACAAAATGGGATGTTTTTATAGGCAGAAAGAGGGTGGGACTAAGATGTTAAGAGTGGATTATGTTAGGCAAGGACAGGCAGAGGGGTCTTACCTGATAGAAAGCCTCACTCGTGTGGATCAGGAAATTCCAGACTGATGGGTTTAAAATTACACTCCTGGGAGATTCTGAAACTAAAATTATGTTAGATATTTAATCTAGCTTGGTATCACGGGCTTTTAGCATAAGAGCCTTTTTGGGCCTGTGGATTTTCTTACCAGTAACTCAATAAATGTTTGTTGAATGAATGGAACTTGCAGATTAGCATTTTTTTCTCAGTATATATTTTAGGAAGCATGAATCTTATCTTTTTGTGTTTGAAGTCATGAAGAAAGGAGTAACTTTGAAGATTACATGAAAGTTGGCACCCTATAATAAAGATAATTTCTAATATTTCTGTTGGTATCCTAGAAAGATCAGGCATGAAAGAATGCAGTCTCCTTTTATTTTTATTAAATTTTTAAAAATTGATATTTAGAGAAAGGAAGGGAGGGAGAGGGAGACATCAAAGTGTTGCCTCCCTTAGGCGCCCTGGCCACGCCCCGAACCTGCAGCCTGGGTATGTGCCCTGACTTGGAACTAACCCACCACCTTTTGGTGTATGGGACAATGCTCCAACCAACTGAGCCATAGCAGCCAGGGCCAGTCTACTTTTAAATACAAAGTTTATGGATGTTTAGAAACTCTAGGTCACAACCCTGCCCTCATGTTAATTATTGGAGTAGTCCTTGTGTTGTGGTATATTTCTGTAAAGACAGAAGTTTTGTGTTTAAACAATAAGTGCTTAAGGGTCTGAAATGACATTTTCCTACTTTCTTATGCTAAATGTTGGAACTGTGGTTTAATAATTAAATAAAACACGGTAACCATTTTTAAAAGGGGGTTATAATATAGCTTTTATCCCTTGAGGAATCCCAGTTTTTTCTTGCTACTGCTTTTAGAAAAGAAATTGGTTGAATAGGGAAAAAAATGATTTGGATAAGTCATGTTGGAACTTTAGTTTAAAGGATCCATTATGCTAAAGGTTGATTTAATTCCTGCTGGGTTTTTTTTTCCCCTCTTAAGTAAATATAAAGGGTAGTGGCTTATTAATACCTAGCTATTCCTCTCATTTCCTCATGAAAACAGGAAAAGGGGGAGTAAATTTAATGCATTAGCATTATTATTTGGGTTAATGTTTATTGTCAATCAGTTACCATCATGAATGGACAGGACAGCCAGATTTGGACTTCACACAGCAATGAAAACTAGCGACTATCCTAACTCAGTACCAGTTGGTTTTTATGGCATTTTTGATATATTACTAACTCAATTTTTCATTTTTGGAATGATATAAAATTGACCTACTTGAACTGGGAAGGTAAGGATTAATTTAGTCTCTGAGATATACTATCATGAAAAAAAGCATATGAAATTGTTATTAGATTTTTCAGTTTTCACCAGTTGCCCCTACTGCTAGTGAAAGAGAAGCTCTTAGTGGCATAGTGTTCTGATAGCCTGACAGAAAACAGTTATCACTTAATTTCACACTGTGAACATGTTTAATTCAATGTTTTTCAAAGTGTGATCCTTAGACAATAGCATAGTAATTACCTGGGGAATTTGTTAAAAATGGAAGATTCTCAAGTCCCACTCCACAGTCAATGGGTCAGAATATTTTGGAGGTTAGCCTAGCAATTGGCATTTCTAACCAAACTACCAATGATTTTTGTATAAGCTAAAATTTGAGAACTATAGCATATTTTTTAAACCAAAGTTTGACTGTTTAATTGATTTCTTTCAGAACCAGGCCTATATAGACCTTTTATCTATTTTTATAAAGTAAGATCAGAATCTAATAAGAGAGACCATTATGATTTACTTTCTGGTAAAAAGATTGAGGATAGTATTAAAACCAGTAATTCCTTTAGCTTTAAGATTTATTTTAAATAATATTTTTTCTGGTTATAAAAGTAAGATGTGCCCATTGTGAAATATTATGAAAACTTAGGAAATTATAAAATGATAATCACCCATAATACTATTCCCTGGAGATAAGCATTATTCTAATTTTGATATGTTTCCTTCCTGTATCTGTTTCTCCATTTATCCTTCCCTTCTTTCTTTTCTTTGTCTCTATGGAAAACAATATTTGAGGTTTTTATTCTGCCTTTTTTCCTACCTAACAAGCATTTTACCACATTATTGCATTATTTTTCACAAGCATAGCTTTTAGTTTCTGCACTATGACACATATTTCTGTCATATGGGTGTATCTTAATTTATTTAACTATCCCCCTGTTATTGGATGTTTAGATTTTCAGTTATTTCTGTAAAAGGATATCTTTTTGTTTAAAATTTTGTCAGACTCGAATTACTTTCCTTAGGATGGGATTATATAGTATTTAAATTTTTTTGTGGTCAAAGGGCATAAATATTATTAAACTCTGTTGAATATTTCCCACTTGTTTTGAGAATGTTGTTTATTTCAGTATTTGCTTCCACATATACTATGAAAATGCCAGAAAGAAGCAAGTGTTCTTTTTTTAAAGCTAATATGTTAAGGAAAGCATAGTTAGTCATCATTTTAATTAGTATATCTTTGATTATTAATGAGTTGAACATTTTTGCACTGTTTATAAGCTTTGGCTTTAATTTTTTATCTAACCGAAATTTTCCATTTTGTTTTAGGTCTTCTCTGTCGATTGAAATGTCTATGATTTTATCTGCCTCAGTCGTTCGTGTCAGGGATGGACTGCCACTTTCTGCTTCTACTGACAATGAACAAGGCACAGGCGTGCAGGAGTGCAGAAAGTACTTTAAAATGCTCTCAAGGAAACTTGCTCAGCTTCCTGATAGATGTACACTGAAAACTGGACATTATAACATTAAGTAAGACTTTAGTTTGTTTCATGAAAATCACTTGCTTAGTGGTTGTCATTTTAATGAAATTTAAGTGGTGAAAATTAGTGTTTGTTTAGTTTAGGAAAACTTGTTTGAGTCAAGAATCATGTGGTTTTGAACTGATACTAAATAGTAGTCATCATTTCATCACCCTTTATTACCTGGCTTTAGAAAAATTTATAGTTTTGCAGATCTCAGATATGTCATCTTACAAGTTGATCACTAGGTATTTATTAGTGTTCTTACATGCCCAGGCAAACTGTAATGGGAAATTTAAAAAAATCTTATGTTATACCTGCCTTCAAAAAACTTAAGTTTACATTCTAGTCAGAGGGGATAGCATTCATCACTATTTATTGTATAGAAAGAAAGTAAAACTGGGCGATAGGATAGAGAGTGACTTTATGGTGGTCAGGGATCCCTCTGAGAGCAGAGACCTAAAAGATGAGAAAGAAGGCAGTATAAAGGATGCTATGGGTAAAGAGCAAGGCAGAGGTGACAGCCAGTGCAGAAGGCCGTCAGTACAGATCAAGGGAGGGAAAGAAAACCAGAGATGCTGAAGCAATGTGGACAATTAATAGAGTGGCAGAAAGTGAGGTCAAAAAGGTGGGAATGGGATAGGTAATATAGGGCCTTCTAGGCTGTGAGGAGGAGTTCGGATTGAGCCTAATACAATAGGAAGCCACTGAAGAGTTTTAAGATGGAGAGTTATATAATCTGATTTGGGCTTTGAGTAGATCATCTTGGCTACTCTGTGAAGAATGGGCTCTAAGGGAGAAAGAGAGGAAGCAGAGAGATCATTTAGGAGACTCTTAGAAAAGTTCAGGCGGAGGTGATTGTTATAACTTGAGGGTGATGATGAGCGGTGGTGTGATTGTGGCTGTATTTTGGGAGTAGCACCAACAAATCTTCCTCATGGAATAAAGTGGAATGTGAGGGAAAGAGAATAAGCAAGTCACCTCTAGATTTTTGCCCCGAGGATCTGGATAGATAATGGGGTTGAAATGAGCAAGACTGGAAGGTAAGTGTCTCAGTGGTAAAAATCAAGAGTTCTGTTTGGACAGATTCCCGTTAGCCATCCAGGAGGCACTGTCAGGTAGGTAGCTGGATGTGTAAGTCTGAAGTTTAGTGAAGAAGGACAAGTATGGAGATTTAGATTTGGAGGTCAGATTACGGTTTGTAATTAAAACCATGGGAATAGATAAGACCACTTGGAGAGCATACACATGAAACAATTAGAGTACAGTTAACTACTGAGCAGTTTGATACTGATAGTGCATACAGTCAGAAATCAGGTAAGAGCAAGGTCTGTATGGGATATAATGAGAGAGGGCTTCATTATTGAGAAAAGCCATGAACCATGTCCTGAAGAATTAGTAAGATTTGGCTAAGGCAGAGAGGAGGGCATTTCGGGTGTAGAGGCAGAATAAAGAATGTGACTTTGCATGGTGGTCGCGTTAACCTGCTTGGCCCAGTGAAGTGAATGGTGACTTAGGGATAGTTGTGGGAAATGTGAGATAATTAGAGTGGTGCCAGATCCTGGATTCCCCTGAAAGTTTAGATTGACAGATGTCACTTTGATGTAATAATAGGTTATAGGAAGCTGTTACTGCAGGTTTGAGGGAAGTGACTTGATAAAAAAACAATGCTGAAACAGGGTGAAATGGAAAGTCTGAGGAGAGAGGTTAACTTATAATTAGGACCTGAACTAGTTAAATACAAGTGCAAATACAAAGGAAAACGCCAGCCATAAAGACACATCAAAAAACAAAGAAACGGTTAAGCCTTTTAAAATGGAATATCAGAGATAGGAGAAGGAAGGAACAAAGATGACTGAAACCTTGGAATTAGACAGAATGAGGTCTTTGGAAAGGTTGCTTATGGGCGGGGGAGGGAGGGTGGTGAGGAAGGAGAGCAAGATAATGAAGCTCCATTTTGAGCATTTAGTTATGACAGGGCAGTCCAGTCTAGGTGGGATAGAGACTTTAGAATCATTCACATAGAAGCTGAAACAGTAGAAGCAGCCACTGAGTTTCTGAGAGGCCCAGAACAGAACCTTAGAGAATGTCCATAATTGCTTGGATCACCTGAGTAATGGTAAGATAATGAGCTGTTATTTTTGATTGGGTTTTCTGAGGGTTTAACTACAAAATAGTGATGGTTTTGGTGAATATATCTAAAGTGATGTCTTAGCCTACTCCTATTTCTTAGAGGAAAAAACTTGAAACATTTTAATATTTCATTTAGTAGTCAGAGGCTCTTTGGGTTCCCTGGGTTATTCTGAGTTTTAGTTGTTGTTATTGTTTAATGCTGTAGACAATAGCAACATTATAGAAGATTGGCTTGTATGTAGTATATTAATTCTGGCAGATATCCTAGACTAAAAAAAACACACACACACAACTTTTTTTTTTGCAAATGTTTTCTGTTCCTCTACTGTATTCTCTTAAAAGTAGAGTAGAATGTAGTAACATTTTCAACACCCCTCTAATTCTGCTTAACTACTGTGAATTCAATTTACAAAAAAAAAATAGTTCAAGAGTACAGGTAAAAGAATCATATGGAGGGAAAAAATAAAGATAGGAGAATAGTACACTGAAGTAACATGGCCATTTAGAGATACAAACATTTCCTTTTGGAGATATAAATAATTTTTTATTTATAGTCCATTCATTTGTTAGAAAGGGCTACAAATATTGCTTTGAGCATCCTTGTCGCCAAAACAAAAGGGGATAATGGATCATTTATAGGATTCACAGTGTCTATTGGATCCAAACATTGCTTTTCATGTTACATCTGATGTACATAAAAAGGAACAGCCATAACAATGAGCTTTTTATGATTTTTCTTCTAATATTCCATAGTGTAAGCAAATGGCATGATGAAAAAACCAACTTTATAAGAGGGTTTAGGAGTGGGATGAATCATCAGAGGTCTAATCTGGCTTGATCTAAGAAAATAATTTAGAAATGCCTAAAGGAATAAATAGGTTACATGGCCGTCGGAACCACGCATGGAAAAGCCCCTATGCACGTTATTTTTGTAGCCAAGTTTGAAAAAAGGGTTAAGCAGCAGAGAATTTTTAGATCTACTTCTTGACAGGAGCCTGGATTTTATATATTTTCTACCATTGATTAGAGGTCTTATTTGTTGGTTTCTAGTTTATTGAGGTTTCGAATGCTATATGACAGATTTAAATTGAAATATATAAAATTGGGAACTTACATGTTACCTGACTGATTTAAAATTCTCACATGACACCTCTTTTTTGAACCACGATGAATTTGCCAGATAAAACTCACAGGTCTGTAGTAGTAGTGTCATAAGCACAACCTGAAACTGGCACCAGGCTGCCAGTCTACTCTCCATCCAGTTTCTAACTGCTTCTCCTTCCTTAAACCCTGGCGCAGAGCCTGCCTCTTTGAATCGCCTTCTTTCTCATCACTATTATTTCTCTAATGATCTCACTTCTTTCGCCTGTAGAACTTGTTTGACTGACTTTTTCATCGCTTTTTCCTTATTTTCAATTTGTTTTTTATTTTTATAGCTTTTCTCTATACATTGTAACTCACTGAGATGATTGATCTTCCCTGGCTTATATTATGTTTGATTTCTGTTCTCTAGCATTGTGGTTTCCAAATTTGTATAGAAAATGAGGTACTCTTTGTAGAATACCACAGAGAACCAAAACAAAGTAACTAACTAGATAATTATTGCTAACTCAGGTGGTACCTCACATTAGATTCTGGTTGAATACATAGAGGAAGACCATATTTTTGGGAAAAAAATAAGAGTAACATTTAAAATTGAGAAAATTCCTTTAATTTTCTCTCCCTGTGTATTGGGAAAATGATAACTTTATCAGAGTGTGGTGACTGAATACTTCATTTCAGCTAATGGAGCTCATTCTGTGGAGCATGGCTTATACTTGCACTATGCTTACACATGTCCTCATAGCTACTCAGTGAGGGATGGTTGTTTTGGGGGTATTGGCTATGTTCAGAGTGCCATGGAATTAAGTCTTCATTCTCTCCAAAATTTTTCCACTGGGCTCATTGATTTGGGGTGTGGTGTGTATGCATAATCAAGTTTTGTGATTTCTTTTCACATTACATAGTGATCTTACAATTCTCTCTGCATAAAAATTTAAGGGATTCATCGGTTTCATAAATTGAAGGATACTTTCCTCAAGTTGTCATAAATGTTTAATATATAAAGGTTTGTCATTACTTAGGAAACAACAATAACTAAAGCAATAATTATGAACCACGTGAAAACTAAGTTGTATTATATGAGATCTTAAAACATTGAGATACTGATATTATGAAAAGACAAACCTCTTTGGGAGGCCAGTTATACTTGTGAATTTTAGTGCAAGAAATCAAATTCCTTAGTTTTTTTCCCCCACTATGAATTCATTTAAAGTCTGATAATGGCTGTGAGTCTCATAGGTTCTCTCCTTACCTGCAGATTCACTTTCTCCATATCTGTCTCCCGATTGCTTTCTGCAGCCAGGAAGGCTGTTTTAGGCTTACCTGCCATTTTGTTTTAGTTTCTGGCAGTTCTTTGCTTTCACTCTTTGTATTATTTTCTGATTACAGGAGTAGCAACTTCAACAATGTTGCAGTACCTCTAATTGCCAGGCCCTCTGCTTACATTATTAAATATCACAACAACTCTGTGAATGGCTAATAAATAGAGCTCTTTCCCATTCTGAGTGCAGAAACACAACCCATATTAGCTTAGGCCAAAAAAAAAAGTATTGTGAAGGGCTTCTGAGTTGGCTGGAGCAGGGGCTCAGATGCTGTTGTCAGGAATCTTTCTCTCATTTTTCCACTCTCCTTCCTTTTGCGTGTGGGTACTGGAGAACACTGTCCAGGCAGCTCCTGGCTTACTTCACCCCATCTGAACAACCCCTCTCCCTTCAAGGTTCAAGAAAAGGACTTTATTGGCTTTGCCGTGCTGTGGCCCATTTCCGGAGTAACATT